ATCCAGATGGACCACGAGGTGGGGCGCACAGGACCGAACAAAGTTAAACCAGTCCAGGCCGAGCAACAGGTCGGAAGAGAGAGAGTCGGCCACAGGAACGTCGTTCAAGCGCATCGAAATGACGCCGACATCGGAAGGAAGCGTTAGGGGCCCAGAAATCTGTGAGTCAAGTGCACGGAGCCCAGATTTGATGACCCAGTCCAGAGAAACACAGGAAGTTGCAGCATGACGGTCAAACCCGGTACGTATGGGCAAACCACGGAGAGTAGCCAGGGGGGACATGGAGGTCAAGAAGAGGAAGCGATTCGGATTCGTGATCTTGCGGCTGCCAAGGTGATTGATTCATTGATGTCCGCGTCCGACGGTAACGGATACTGCGGATAACTTTCCGAACAGAAAGCTGAAATGACTAATGAATGGTCGGATTGAATGAAGGCGGCACGCAGACTGAGATTTCAATGAAGGGAAGGCGACAATGCATCGGATGTTCATTGTGCTTACAAGTTGACTCCTAAGTAATGTACCGATGAATTTAAATACAGACAATTGCCTTTTCGAGATGACCAATAGACCGTGACTAAATATTGTTTGTACATGTGGACGAAATGTGGCCCAAATGCAAGTTCCCCTGGGTAGCCAAACCTAAAGGTTCAGCAATTATCGACCACGACTTACTTCTGTTTGATCCTTAACAACGACACAGGCCTTCAAAGCTTGTCGAGCGAAACAGTGGGATCTATCGTATGAATCTTTAACAGGTTTCGAGGCACGCGACGCGCTACGCAATTTGAAGGTGTCAAATGCCGAATTTTGGAAGGAATTGGAATCAGGCAAGATCCACGCGCTTGAGAAGCACAACAAGAAATACCCGGACAATCCTGATCCTCAGTCTACCAGCCCACCCGACGATGAAATAGGTGATGGCTGCGAATTTTCATCACGTCTTGTAAAGCGTGCGACGATTGATTCGATGGAGAAGCCTCTCACATCCGAGGAGAAATCCGCGGAGACCCTTGACGATGTAGAGCCCAATGACGCAGAGATAATGGAGGAGGGGAGGGGGAAAAGGCGAAGAAAGCCAACCACGAGGTATACGGGCTTCTGGCGACACCGAGACGAGGACGATTCCGAAAATGAGGAATATGGCTAAGTTCTGAGCAGTGTAGCACTCCGAATGGATAAAGAGATTTTTTGGCGATTTTTTCGTGATTTTTCTGAGCTTTTTCGTGAACCTGCGGACCAATTCGATAATGGCCGGGGTGACGCGTGACATGGACCAAATTTCGATATCGATAGGGGGCCGCGTGACGCGTGACTATCGATTTGATCGAAATACTACGGTATCCTATGCTACTCACCTTTCCAATGTTGGCATTCGAACCTTCGACAACGTACCTGTCGTCAATTTGGATGAAATTTGACGGACTTGCGGTTCAGCGTTTTGAGAACGCCCGCGTTAATCCCGTATGTCCAAATTGTGTGCCGTACCACGAGATTCCTTTCAGGAATTTGGCCAGGCGCCAGGCTCCAAACACTTCCTTTTTTTTCTTTGACATGCCAACAGAGTCCGGGTCAGTTTAGCTGTCTGCGCCCAAGGAAGCGGGCCCGACGCTTCGAGGCGTTACTCTTTCCCAGCCACGCCGGCGTAATGGCAATTTGAATTCTGGGCACGTTCCCCAGATTGTTCGGCATCAGTATGCAACGAATCTGCGGTGGGATCTTCCCGGCAGTCGGGAGTCTTTGAGACAAATCGAGAGCGAGAGGCAAATCTCTGCGTTCCGATGATGGTCGGACAGTGCTGTCGGGAAAATGGTTGTTCCATCAGTTTACTATTGGCCACCCACAATCTGGGGAGTAGACATGCCTAGGATTTTTCTCGGGTCCGAATCGTACGGTACGCGATTATTTCCCAAAATAGGTATGGCAACGAGAGTAGCAAGGCACTGCGTGCTAAGTAGACTCACTCGATGTGTGGCGGGGATGAGTAGTTGCCAGGATGTTAGGCAGATCTTTGACACAAGCCGCAAGCGAGAAACGTCGCATAAAGCCGTGGCTGCGATATGGCAGATGGTTGTGGTGGCAGCTGTGTAGGTGGATGCGTTGGTTCGCGGTACATATATACAATATGCGCACGCTGCCGAGAATCAACACAAGATTTCGGGCAGGTCGACCTCGAACGAGTGCGTAGTCGATTGGTAGAACTCCCATCAAATCTAAGTCCTTTCGGTCATGGTTGCCGCTATTCGGCTCCCAACCACAGGCAGCTGGGGGTGTTTAGCGCATTTGTGCAAGTATTCTTGGCCTACTGCATGAGTTCCAGAGTTGCTGGTGACTTATTGGACAAGTGAAAACCCCCACAGAATTGCAAAAGAAAAACATCACAAGTTCGGCATCCGCCAGATGGCTTTTGCTGGTTCATTGTTCGGGGGAAGAAACCAAGATTTGCCTAAGATTCTCTCGGGAAACATAGTGTTTGCTGATTTATTTCGGAATTATTTGCAAAGCCTCCTCGCACGAATGCAGAAGACAAATCAGCAGCCGCGGTCGGCATCTTCTTCGGCGCGGCGAAACATAAGAAAAACACAAGAAAAAAACGGTTGTGTTGGATTCAGTAGGCAGACGAAGTATTTTGTTGGAAACTGAAAACAATGCTGTCTAGATCATCGCTTGAGATGTCTCCCACAGCGGTTGAACACAGCCCGGCACGCGCAGCGGCAGCCAACGGCATCCGCCATTTTGCCTTTCCGAAATGATCGGAGTTGTACCAATCGACTCAACACTGACCTCGAACGAGTCTAGTAAAGCAGGGTGGCTCGAGAGCTGACTAGATGGAGCGAGATGTATCCATCGAGACCCCAAATTCCGGAGCCAGAAGCGAGATGTGCCATTCACGTTAATCAAGCTTTCACGCCAGCAGGCGCGACCCGAGGCTGCCATGGACTCATGGCCAATGGTGAGTTTGGCACCAAGCAATAGGGGTGAGTGAGAAAACAAGGATAGCGACCATTGCGTTTGGCTGCGGGCTGTGGTGTTACATTTCCTCGGATGAGTCGGATCGTGCGAGAGGGGTCACGCAGTCTATCGATAGTCCTGGATACGTGGCTCAAGCGTGGCTAATGGGAAGGCGGAGCCTGTTCGTTCGCCTACGTCCAGTTCCTTGCCAGATTCGAAAGCGGTGGATAGTTCTAGCAAAGGGGAAAGAAGCGACATGCGCATGTATCATTGCAGCCCGAATACCACGTTGTTCTGTCGGTCACATCTGTCATCCAATGCTCGTCGTTCTGGGATCCTTTACGAGACGAAAGCCGGGTCTTGCGTGCCATTGCTTGCAGCATTCCCCACGCTGCGATGAAAGTCAAATCCATTCAGCCAACGATCCACGCATCTTGTACGCGAGGAGGTTTCAGCCTTGTAGCTTCGCTTGAACCGCGAAAAATGGCGAAAATTGCCTAGACAACAGGGAGCCCGTATGTGAAAGCGAAGGAAGTTGTGAAAAAAGCTTGGAGCGAGGATGAAGGGGGGGATAAATGAACCACGCCATTAACTGGGTTACTCAACTTCGAAGTACGCGACTCCCTGGATACTCTGTGGGTCTTCAGACGGGATGCCATCCTCCTGGACGAGTCCGAACAGCCTCGGCGGTCAGGCCTGTAATTTTGTATGCGCAAGTCGAATATTTGAGCGCCAGGATTCGAGTGCGCAGGAGCCTGAGAAGGGGCATCCAGCAACAAATAGCAGAATCTTGGGACGAGAGCGTTGCACGAAGTGAACACTTTGAGTAGCGCCATATCCAACGATTCCATTCCGTCAGACATGCATGAACGAAGCCCAGCCATATTTCCGTGGGCCCAGCCAGATTCATTCGGCAGAAGAGATTATATCGGAGATGGAGTCAGACAACGCAAGTACTTGGAGTCACAAGGACGGCTGAGCGGTTGCCGGATGTTGACAGAGGATAAGCGTCAACAGCGAACAGCCAAGTCCCGCCACAGATGACACAAAAGTGTCCAAAGAAAATCCCGTCGCCCGACTGCCAGAGACCGTCAGAATCAATTTCAAGTCTGCTTTCGACGCGCGCAAGAACCAGGGCGGAAAATGTCAAGAGGAACCAATTCAAGAGGAACCAATTCAAAGAGTCTTGCGAAGAAGGCACTGCACATAGTTGACCCTTAGTGTCGCGTCGCAGAGCAAGTAAAATACTTTGTACTGTTGCGCGTCTTCAAGGATCTGTCAAATAGCAGCATATTCAACAGTCTTGGGCACAACACAGACTTGGCGGGGAGCAAGCGCACGCCGAGTCACGCGCGATTGGGGGCGAAATCGTCCGAAAGGGCATTCCACTGAGCGAAAATCGCATGATCGTATCGCGGCCGCAAGAGGATCACTCATGTCCTGTCAGAGTTGAGTCAGAGATGGATTCTAGCGATGGCTGAGCATGTTCCGGGAAGGCTGACGGGAATAGAGCGTTGACAGAGAACAACCCTTGAGGATCCATAGGTGTATCCTCTTGCCACAGAGCACACAGAAGGATCCGAAGAAATCCTCGCCCGGGGGATGGTCGGAATCAATCTCAAGTCCATCCAATGTGGTCAAAGGAGTACAGGTTAGAACCAGCCAGATACATGGATCTGACGGAGAGAGACGATAGCAATGCAGAAACGATGATGGTGGTACAGAGGAGAGAAGGATCCGGCATCTTCCGGACTCATTGATCGTGTGATGGGGCGTCACTCCAGATTCACTCAACTTCACCTCCTCAGTCCTGTCCTTCACAGAAAACCTGCCTAAACCCTTCAAACTAAGCAAGGGCAAGCAGGTTGAGCGGACAGACTTCGGAAAAAAATCACAAGTCCGTTCCCCCTTTCGACTTAGTGCTTTTTTCCTCTTTTTCGAGCAGCCAAGACGGTTTGCCAATTTTTTTTCAACCATTCCCCCGTCTTGGCTGCTCGAAAAAGAGGAAAAAATGGAAGGGTGGTAGGGCAGTAAAAAGGCAAAAGAATTGACCACCGCAGGGGTCGAACCTGCAATCTCCTGATTACGTAACATCATCGGTTTCAGCCATCGTAGTCAGACGCGATGCCATTTCGCCAGGCGGCCGATGAAAGCTGAGTGATCGATGAGGTTGAGTCAGATTTGGCTCGGTTGTGATACAGAAGGGAAATCCGCGGCGACCTTCGCGGAAGTTAAATCGGGATGATACTTTATTTAACTTTCGCCCCTTAGCTTTAGCCTTTCATGCATCATGCTTCCTCCGAGTCCTGGCATGGCGTACGGAGTCCAACTTTGAACTGCCCGATTGAACTCGAATTTTGGAGGTGGGTTATATTTGTATTGCTCACTTAGCTCACTTCCAATCTCCCACGAATCCAACGACCTTTGTTGAAGTACAATAGTAACGGCGCGGGCGTTGTCCAGAACGAAGTGCTTTAAATTCACGCATGCCCCTCCATTTGGATCCACCCTGGGACTTGTCAACGAACCCGACTAGATTGAATTGGAGCCCGTCCGATACCATATACAGCGCTCCATCCCACGCCGGCTGAAATTTATAGGCGATGAGTTGCCTAAACTTGAATGGGTCCGATGAAAATCAACATCAACCTCAGCCTTTACTCTCAGACCCATCAAGGCGACGCCAGACATCGGACTACTTACCCAAAGCTCGGACTACGGAGGTCGGGTAGACCCAAGAAGGAGGTAGTACCGTTCCGGTCTCGGTGAATTACAGTGGACAATGGAAATTAAAATCGACGTTCCTTCGCGCTCCACCGCACCTCGAACGCAAATTCACATATCTCCTCCACTCAAGCTCAATGGCGAGCCTGCGGAATCCACCCTTATTGGCCCTCTCGTCCCCGAACTAGGCTGTTGTCTACCCAATCGCAAGCTGCGGTACCCAGTAAGACTGATAATCGTCGGGTATATATACGAGTTGGAGTCCCCGGCCAATTGCGCGTACCTAGACACCACGGCACCGCCGATTCGCCGTCGTGGTTGAATTATCATAACACATGTTCACGTGCACCCCCAGGTTCCACCCCGACTCCAGTTTTTTTTTTAAAAGCACATGTGTTGATTTCGGCCCCTCGTAAACGGTAACCAAAGTCGGAGAGTATGTCCTCCTGCTCTACTCGTTTTACGACGAATGTTGGGCGAGAAGTTTGTCTGGAGTCGCAGATACCGTGTCCGTTTGGATGTACGTTGGACTAGTACTGATAACCCAATCATCCGGTTGGACTCAGACAGACAATAGTCAAGTCGTCTATCACCAGACGGGTTCAGCCATAGGAGACTGAAATTAAACAAACGTTCCTGCGCGCTCCTCCGCCACGCCATCCTGTCTATGGGACCATGACCAACAATCCGCTTTCCCATTCCCCGAATCTTGAATCCCAAGGCCGAAGTACAAAGCGCCCCGCTCACGTTCCCGACCATCCCGATGTGAAGTAATGATTAATAATATACAGACCACTCGCCCGCGGTTAAATAGTAAAATTGATCCAAAGTAGGTACAGCCCCACCCACCTCAACGCGATTAGCTATACTCTAAATTCTGGAACGTGTATATACGAGTGACCCCTAACCGGTCCCGGCGGCCCAATTGACGAATCGTATCAATCCAACTTCACGGCAGCCAGTGGTGGAGTAGCGCCGATACCATGTCAGCAGGCGGAGGCTTAACAAATGAACGGCAGGGAATTGGGAACTCAAATCACCAGACCCGTTGAACAATGGGGAATCATAATCGTGAATCGGGATATTAAAAGTACACGTTCCTTCGCGCTCCACCCCTCGACGGGATTCGCTCATCGCGATCGCTACTGGCTGCACTCTAAATTAACTCCGATTAAAAAACCTGGATCTTGAAGTGGAGGCGTAAGTATCCTGGCATACATACACCCACGCCGTTGAACAAGTTCGAACTTCAACCCGGTCTAGTGGGAAAACCCCTAATCTAAATTACTACTGACGACAAGGAGCATGCAAAATACCCATCGTACTTGTAGCACTACCCTCGCCGACACCCCCAACGAACTCAAATCCATCCATCATGATCCGTGTGCGCTCCGTCAACGCCTGTATCCTATGTATCCGTGTAGTAATGTGGCCAATAAAAGGATCGTATCAGCAGATGGGGACTTACGAAGTCTAACTAAAATTAACGTTCTCCTTCGCTCCACCGCAACGCGATTCGGTCATCGCTAATTATAATCGCTGCACTCTGATTAAATTTACACAACGAGACGAGATGCGGCATCGCTGGAGGCGCATCTCGAGTAAGCTGAACTACAGCCGATGAGCAACAGAAATCCAGTCTATTACAAAACCTAATCCTAATCTTAGTACCTACTTACTAGCCTGTAGAATACCCCGCCCTATGTACCGTAGATACCCCTCAGAAACCGAGCCCAATGTAATCCGTATGTATGTATCCGTATCCGTATCCTGTGTATCCGTCTAGAGTATAGTAATGTGGGTATCCCGTGTGCGTAACGCGTCGCCTAACGCCTATCCTCAACCCGCGATTCAAGCCTAGCGGCTACCGCCGATGCGAGCTGACACTTCGACTTCTTGAGTGCGACTTGCCGCTCTGGCTGCCGAATATGCGATGAAGCAGTCCGCCTCCGCTGTCTTGATTAGAGGCTTGCGGGTAGGAGGTGTGCGGGACGGGTTGCGGGTACTAGAGAAGAATGGTATTTAGAATCGTGTCCATGACGTCCATAAACAGAAGGAGAAGAGGACGAAAGCGCGCGCGGGGGCGGGGATGGGGATGGAAGAGGGAACGGCGAAAGGAAAGAGGGAGAGAGGAGTGGTGAAAGGGAGAAGTAAGAGGCAAACGCACGATAATCTGCACCCTTCGATCCCTCGGCACCACGACATACGCCGCCGGCTGCGCCTGCGCCTGCACTGGGTACATCGGCTGCGGCGCCAGCGTGTACGCGCTCGTATATTGTGGCGGTGGGCTATACATCGGCGCCTGCGTCGGGCTGACGACGTACGTCTTCGTCCCACTGCGATGGCTACGGTGCCCGTGTCCGCCGCTGCTACTCCGGTGGCTGCTATGGCGATGGCGTGAGGGCGAGTGGGATCGTGCCCTTGAGCGCGGGGCGGAGACTTGGGAGACAGAGTCGCGCGGGGTGACGCCGGGGTCGAACGCGGTGCCGAGCGTATGCGAGCGGCGCGGGGCCCTGCTGCCTGCGCGCGAGTGCGGCTGCGACTGCGACTGTGGGGATCGCATTGGTGTCGACGAGCGTGGCGCAGGGGACGAGGGCGAGGACGCATGCGAGGAGGGGACAAAGGGCGAGCGGTACTGCGGTGCGCACTGGGCCGTCTCCTGCGCCCAGCCGGCGCACATCTGCTGCTTGCGCTGGAAGGCGGCGTATGCGCCGGGCGAGTAGTCGTAATCCGTCATCGTGAAGCGTGGTGTCTAGATGGTATAGCTGTGTACTCTGTAGATCGTAGGGGGTAAAGGAAAAGTAGAGTGAGCAAAGGCAAGTAAAGAAAGTGTGGCCACGCACGGAGGCAAAAGTGGCCTTATATCCCGGTGCGAAAACAATAGTGGCCGGTTTGGAATGTGGGGCTCCGCGGAAGCAAACGGCAAACGGGGATTGTCAGTGCTCCAGTCTATAACGAACGGTGACCGTGTGGCTATGAATACAGCCAGCAGCTGTGGTCCGGGCAGCACCAGTGCTGCTGGATTCGATTGGGCGATGACGGGGGCGGGGAACAGCACAGGCGGTCTAGAGCGACGACCGGTTACCGCCGACCCGGTGTGTCCCGACGCTTACGAAAGACAACAAACGTGATGATCCAATCGTCCTCCTTGCGACAAACCCTCATGCGCGCCTTAAGGCCGTCTCGTTGTGTTCCTGGCTCTATATTCCCTTTTGTTTTGCCCGACACTCGTTTTGTTCTGCCTGAAAGGCACCGGGCGGGACATGGATATGGGTGTATTCGTCGCCCGTGGCGGATTTTGGGCGGATTAGTACCATCTGATTCTGGCATCTCCAAACGCCTCACGGATTCACCTCATCCCCCGCGCTCCATGTCCATACTCCCCAACTCATGCATTTGTCCATGACGCACACCCGTTATTCTGGATCCTCCGCGCAATTTCTGGCGCGCAGATCTGACTCCTCGAGGCCGTTGATTTCTCCTTCAGTGCTTGCCGTACGCAACTTACCTACCTGCTGTCTTGGTGCTATCCGCGACGCTGCTGGTCGGGATTATCGGTCTCGGTCCACCGTCTGTGTTGTGGCTGGTTGCGAACTGCCAGCGATGTCTCCGGAATCCTCTTCATGCGGGATCTACCAGCAACGGCGACTTCGATTCCCGCTTCTCGTGTACCGCTCCGCGTTCGATGACCCGCATCCCGTTCCGACGTACGCTTTTGGATCCTCGTCATCCGCTCGTTGTCTTCCCTTCTGGCTACTCAATGAATCCTTGTCTCAGTGCTTTCGATACTGAATCTGATGACGCACGCGGAACTCTCGGCCGCTACCTTTATGCTTATCCTGGGTGCGCCGTTCGTGATTCCTTGTAATAGAAACGGGTATCGCGCGAGGTGCGATATCCTTGACGAGAGGGAATATGACTTATATTCGGGTCCAAATACTGGAACCTTTATATAATCAGTCAAAGACAAGCTTTCGCCAGAAGTCTCAGATTTAAACCAGAGCGTATCTTGGTCCAAGGCTGCTAATGAAGGCTAAACGAGGGATGAGCGCTGGAGGCCCGGTAGGAGAATCACGCAGGTAAGCAGTGAGTTAGTGGCTGAGCACGATGTAGTTGGGTGGTAAGAAGAAGATATATTCACAGGGGAGGGAGCCTCCTTTTATACAGTACGGAGTATCTACGGTATTCTACGAGGTTCCACGCCTATGAGTCAAATGACTCGGGCAGGGACCGAGCCCGAGACATAGCCAAGGTTCAACCCCGAGATGCCCGAGGCAGTGCGAGCCTGACTCGGAAAGCAGTGTTGAACCGAGGGAATGAAAGTGCATTCGAGGCATGTAGGCTAGAAATGGATAAAGTACCTACAAGCTGCAAAAGTGCCAATATCCATCACATAGCCCCCCCAGCCTACATGTCTCGGA